GGTCCTTGGTTTGTTTTGTTTTTTTTTTTGGTTTTTAGTGTTTCATTTTTTTTTCTAGGTTTTTTGTTTTGGTTTGGTGTTTTTTGTTTTTTGACTGCACCGTGCGGCTTGTGGGATATTAGTTCCCTGACCAGGGACTGAACCTGTGTCCTCGGCAGTGAGAGCGTGAAGTCCTAACCACTGGACTGCCAGGGAATTCCCAGAGGGTCCTTGGTTCTGACTGTGTAAGTAAAGTTAGAATGAGAAACTACTACCTTCCACTAGAGGAAAAGCAAGAGGAAAATTTTTTTTTATGCTAGGCTCCCTTTATGATTGCTTAATTTTTGGTGATCTTGGTTTAATGGTCTTTCCCTTGTGCTAACTACTGGCAGGGAGCACCTTTTTTTTTTTTTTTGGTGAGCTCTTGCTGGCCTCTCCCCACATCTTTTGTTCAACCATAATGACCATCTTTTTGCTTCTTCTGGACTTTAGATGCCCGTAACGGTTGTTAAGTGCGGTAGGATGTGATGGAAAAGCACTTAGGAGAATTTACTGGCAGTTTAGAGACTATGTTTTCCCAACTTAAGGCTCTTTATTAATTGGTCAAGGTTTTGTCCAGAAAGGTCACCTCAACCAGGGGAACATTTAACAAAATGCTGGGCACAGGTTACTCACCTTCCTCCTCTGCTTTGTGATCTCACCAGCAGTAACACTTCATATCTTGTGCACCTCACAAAGACTCGGTTTCCTCACTTTCTTGACATATCCATAAGTGTTTCATATACAAACTGTTGAATCGGGTTTTTCAGCTGTTACCAACCCATGTCATACTGTCTCTGTGTGGTCCTACCAAAACTGTCCATTCAGATCCCTTTGCTTTCCCATTTGCAAGTGTCTGAAGTTGTCAAGTCTCAGCTTCCAGAAGTCTCGGTTCCATTGACAGGATACATGTGTGATGACTCTTTAGGGGAAATGATGACGTACAAAGTCTAGATTGTATGTAGGTATGAAGGGAATTTTTAAAATAAGTTGAAGATTAAGCTGTGAACAGCATTAGAACTTTGTCTATTTCTTAATTTTAAAATATGCTGATATGCCTTAAACTGTAGTTGTAGATCATTGTCATTTTGCTGTTTGAAAGTAACCAATGTGTTTTTAAAACTGTTATGTAATCTACTTTCAGTGTTAATGCAGAATTGTCATATATGTAAACTGCATGTTAGACACTTGTCTTTTTTAAAAAACTAAAATAATTGTATTAATGTGAAGCATATCATTTTTTCAAGTATGAAAGTAATCACTTAGCAAACTTGCTTGGTAATTTGGTGTCTGTTAAGGTAGGAGAGTGGCGGACAGGTAATCTATGCATATATCACTAGTGCCAAGACATAAAGTGGGGGAAAATATATTTTTACCCAAACATTGTGTGCCCTTTTGTGAGTTCTTTTTAGTCACTGTTTGACATGCAAATGTACACATGCTTATAATATTGGATAAAAGAAATAGGGATGAAAGAGTCTCGTGTTTTCCTACCTTGTCTGGACTTCAAATGCTACCATCTGGGCAGCACCAGCTCCTCCAAGATGCTTGCCACGTGATGTCCTGTACGTCATATTACTGTCTCTGCCACCCTTTCTCCCTGACTCCCGTCCCCTTCCACCCTGACTAGCGCCCCACTGCCCCAGCCGAGGCGTCCTCTTCTTCCCCGGCCTCCGGTGCTGGCGCTGCAGCTCACCCCCCGCAGCTGGGCTTGAGGAAGTCATCCCTTTACTGACACACTGCTGTTCTTTCACAGTTTGTTGTAGAGAAGCTCCTTTTTTTTTTTTTTTTAAGCCTTTTAAGAATCAAGTTTGAATCTGAACCTTTCTTTTTTCTCTTCTGTAGCTTCTTCTTTATGTAACCATCCTGTTGACAAGCCCTACTCTCTCCTAATGGACATAGAGCATTAGAAGAGCAGGAGCTGTCTGTTCACACGTGTTGGGGAAGAGTTACCTCATTTCCACCATCGCCTCCTATTCTTTTAAAGTCTGGGTCAAATATTGCACTGCTGTTTGTATTTGTCAATGTCTGTTTACAAACCACTGCCCATAGTGGTTACTTAAGTGACTTACCACCACCAAAAACAGTAATACCTAATACTACTACTTAAAAGGAAATTGAGTGAAACAGAGAACTTGGGCCAAAACCCAAGGTAGCCCTGTGTTGGGATCCTCTTGCTTAGCTGTCATGTTCTTGAAGCTGCTGACACAAGAACTCACGGACTGAAGACAGCATGGACCCTAATCTGAGGGTCCACAGACTTGATCTCATGTTAACTCCAGACCTCTGTCCCATGAGTGACATTCTGAACAGCCCGATCAGGACCCTCTACCGTCAATCAGGTCATAAGATCGGGGCAACAGTTTTCCTTCCTTTTGTTAGCTTTGTGGGTTGTTTTGAAGTTTGGGATTTTTTTTCTAAACATTTGATATTGCATGAACAAAGATGGCTGCATTTTTTTAATTTGGAGTGTTCTATTGATACAATGTTTTTATTTTTCAGCTGACCGTCTGCCTCTTGAGAGAGAGAAGTGGGCATCCTTCCTTTAAATTCAGGAACCATTGTTGTTTTATTTGACTCTTTTTCTGTTACCTGCACCCCTCATCTAAGTTTTCGGGGTTTGGGATTCTGTTTTGGAAAAAAAAAATTTTCCTACTTAGCCAGTTCTGTTTTATGTATTGGTTATTCAAACTTAGTTTTGGTATCAAAATTATGCCAATTTTAAGCTCAAGGGGAAATTTAAATGAAGTTTTAAGTCACAGAATTCTGTTTAAGATGCTCTCCTCATCTCAGATACAACAACAAAATCCCTGTGCTGTCACTGGGATTTTGACCTACAAGTCTTAATCATGTTTAAAATGTGCCAGTGTTAGGTAGATGACTTTTCTGCCTCTGGGACTCAATTTATATTTAAAGGTACCTTAAAATAACTTTCTGGCCCATCCCTGCCTTTTTATTTATTGCGAAGCTCTTCTTTACCTTGTGTCCAGTTTTTGTGTCCTGGACCATGGAAACAAACCCCCGACAAGTACATATCCTGTCCCAGACAACAGCAACAGTGACTTAACGTTGGTTCTGATCAGGTGGCTTACTCCACTGTGTCTGCAAAAAAAAAAAAAAAAAATCTGGAAATCACTTAAAATACACCCACATGCAAACACACACACTTCTGCCAGTTGAGTCTGTGAGTTCTAATGCTGACTCGTTTGTGACAGGCTATTTTATTAGCAGCCACCTCTTAGGTGCAGTTTTTGTAGTCAAGGTACAATTTTCAAATTCATTTCTATTTTAAGGCATGAACACGCATTTTAAGTTACCTTTTCATTTCATTACTTGTCAATAGTCTGCTTATTTCCATCATTTTTTAGCCCCATAGTAGGTGGATATTGGTGGCGTGAATTGCATCTGGTAAAGATCTTAAGAGTGTTCCCTTGTATTTAAGAATGGTAACATATGCTTCTGTTGAAAGGTGAAATGATGAAGCAACAGTCCCTGCTTCTTGAATCATTTGATTCTTGGAAGAGGTTATTTAGACCAATTGGAGGAGCTTGCTGGCAAGGGGCCTTCTTTACTTAGAAAGACACTATTATTAAATGCAATAAAATCAGGTTCATCTGAGCCATTAAATGATTAAAATATAAGAGTCAAGAGCCATCCCCTCCATACTACAGTGTAATCTGTAAGGACAGAAATTTGCTAATGATGTGACCGCTGGTTTGCGCGTGGATGGTGGGTATCAACTCCTTAACTGATGCTACAGCATGACATACTGTCAGGTTTGTAAGTTAAACACAAACATCCTGTTGTGTGAAACCACTGTGATTACTAAGTACAACAATTGGATTTATTTTTAAACTCCTTTTAATATTTTAATATCAACTTTACCCTATCACTCATATTTTAAAAGTAAATTCTGCATCAGATTGTAAAGACATTTTTGGCAATATTTAAAAAGCAAATTAGGCAGTATTTTTTTTGTTTGTCTAAGTAGAGAAATGTGTAATCTATTTCTGTTATTCCCTTTTTAATCTTCATGTTGGAGGAAGTGTAATGGTAATCATCTTAATGGGAGGGGCGAGGGAACTGGCTATTACACGCAGGTTGGCCTCTGTTCAGTTATCTAGGGAAAGTGGATAAGACACCACTGGTCAAGTACACAGCTACCCTCCATTGATTTGGCATTTTACTTAAGGTGGTTCCTTTTCTCAAATGTTGATAAAACTGGTAGGTTCTCAAGTTCTCTTGGCTGACCAACTAAGAGATACGAATAATAAAAACTACTCGTTTATCTCAAGCTAGATTGTTGGAAAGCAGGGAGAACTGAGCCATCTGAACCTATTTCCATTGGTGATAGGCTTTTTATTTTTCATACAGTCTTTAAAACAAAAACCTTACTTGACTTCAGATACAGACTCGGCCTTATTGCTGAAAAGTGAGTGTAGTCTAGATGGTCTACTTGAGACAGGCACAGCACACGTATAAAGGAGAGACCTGATCTGAATTAGTATGTGCTGAGCTGGGTCAGATAAAATTAGGTCATCTTCCCAATAGGCTTGACCATACTTTTCCCCATCAACTGTACCTAAACGTCCTTCTTAGTTATTTTGGTTATTTTTCTGCCTATCATTGTCCCAGCTTATGGGTAAAAGTTCTGGATATCTGAAAAACTAAGTACATAATTTTCACTGTATTTAAATGACATTTCTATGCAAAACCTTTTGCTTTGCAGATGACTGTCATCTTTCCACCCTGGAGACTGACAGTGTTGGCAATGTGGGTCATTTTGAAGATCCTTGTACTTGAATCCTTAAGACCATGGTATTTAGTCCTTGAGACTGATACCATCTGGCTTTCAGATCAATCTCTAGCAAACAACTGGCACCCTCAGGGCTGGTGTAGAGGTTGAATGTGTTAATCTAAAAAGACTAATTGCGAGCCTCGGTATCTGCTCACCTCGCTTTCCAACCTTCCTATTCTGACAGGTAGCTGTTTACAAATGAGATCTTTTGGTTGTTAGTGGAACATCGTGGGAGGTACAGATGAAGACTTCACATCTGCCTCAAATCAGTTATTTGCATGCTGTGAGTTGAATGGCATTTCAGTCCACTATGGAAACTTCCTTTCAAAATCATGGCACCTAGATCAGAGGAGGCAGAGGCTATTATCACAAGGTTGGTCCCTGTCAAAAAGAAAACTTGTGTATGGTGGGGAGGGTGCAGAATAACATTCCACGAAGAACTCTGCTTAACCATGCCTTCTCTGCACGGTGCGTTGAGAATACTGAAGGGTTGCAGTTCTAGCTCTCCTTGCCCTTTATTTATATCCATCCATCTTTCCCACACAACCCCCCCCCCAATACTTTTTTTATTCTATATACTGCACCAGGCCTACATTAGGTACTGTGGATGTAGCCACGCACTATGAATTGCATGTCTCTCTGCATACCTCAAACACAGCAAATTCTGGGGGTAAACAGAAAAGGTAAGCCCTTTCTATGCTAAATTGTGAGAGAGAGTATTCTGAAAAGCAAAACCCACCTCCACCCCCAATTGCTTTTCAGTGGTTTCTTTCTTAAGGTTGCCCTTCTTTCTGGAGTGTTCTCTTGCTAACAAAATAAGCTGTTTCTGAGAATGAGAAACCAGTTTACTGGGCCTATGCTTTTCTACACTGCCCTACTGTTGTGTAACACAATAAGGTCAAGTTTTGGCATCTGATCTGCTATGAAGGTTGTACTTCAAGAGTCAAGAGAAATGGAGAGGTTCAGCCTCCTGGAAACTTCAACACTAGTGTTTTGTGCTCTCTTCAGATTTCTCTATCTGATAAGACGTTCTTGGTTACCTCTCATGACACCTTTTCAATAATCAAGAGATGGCCCAGGGAGAGTTATGTCTGTGTGCTACACATGGGTCTTACATCATAAAAACCACTGCAGATGGTCCCTGACTTAAGATGGTTTGACTCACAATTTTTTGGTTTTATGATAGCGTGAAAGTGATATGCATTGAGCAGAAACCATATTTCCGAATTTGGATCTTTCCGTGGGCTAGCAATACGCAGTTTGGATGCTCATTTCGCTGGGCAGTGGCAGCGAGCTGCAGCTCCCAGTCAGCCAACGCAATCACAAGGGTAAACAACGGATACACTTAGAAGCATTGTTTTTCAATTCAGTATTCAATAAATTCCATAGAATATTCAATACTTTATTATAGAACAGACTTTGTGTTAAATGATTTTGCCCAACTGTAAGGTTACTGTAAGTGTTCTGAGCACATCCGAGGTAGACTAGGCTAAGCTGTGATGTTCAGTAGGTTAGATGCATTAAATGCATTTTCGACTTAAGGATATTTTCAACTTACGATGAGTTTATCGGGATGTAACCGCACTGTAAATAAAGGAAGGTCTGTAAACTCATCAGTATGGTGAGGGAAAGCTTTCATTTTAACTCCTTAATGCAAGCTGTGCTACAAAGCCTGTACTTCATCTTTTCTGTCCTAATGATTGGTCAGATCCAGCTCAAAATGAAAGCAGCAAGCTTTTGGGAGTTGGCTATTTTCAAGTATTCTCAATTCGAAGTTATCTTGCAGGACCAAACAATGAACGAGTATTAGGATTTTTAATTTGCAAAACTTTTTTTTTTTTTTTGGTATGAGACATACTTAGCCACCATCTGTCCCAAACCATGGCAGATACTGCTAATTTCCCTCAGTCCCACACGCACAGGCCTCCCATGGCTTACGTGATGTGAACTTGTAACTGCAAATGATGCTGATGCATTGCTTAGCAACAAGAGGTGAGCGCTCAACTGCTCATTCCCACACAGTAAGCCCAGTTTCTCCCTGAAACTTAAAAAGATGTGCTATTTTTTCTAAAAGCACCATCTAGTGGCCAAAGCTCAAAACATTATAAATGAGCATAGGAGACATTCTCCTGTTAACAGTTTAAAGACTAGTTTCAACAATTTTGGAGGCTTTAGAAATAACATGTTAGACAAAACATCATATCTCAAAGCTTTATCCTTTGTATTTGGTAAGTCAGAAATTGAACCTTGTTAAAAATTCTTGGCTATGTGGACAGTTCTCTAATCTTCAACCTGCTGTGTCCCAGGAGGGTTGTGAAGACACCTGGCACAGTATCTTCCCTTTCCAGTTGAAAATGTACAAACTACCTTAAGGATGAAGATAACAAGGCTCCCCGTTATGCCTGCTGAGCGTCAGTGGCTTGAACCACATTGTGCTGTTTCGGGCAGTGATGTTCAAGGACAACTTACTTTCTTGTTTCAGGAACTCCAAAGGAGTGAATTAGAAATCCTGAAAATCCAGGTATGTAAAGAGAATAGACAGGACATACGTACGTGTTGGTTCTAACATAGGAGAAAAGAAAGAATACTTCTTCGGGGGCAGACGCCAATGTCTTAACTCCCTCAATGGCAGGACTGTAGGCTCCGATTCTCATCAGCTTGGCCAAGTGAGGAACTACGCGATAGCTTCTTTCAGAGCCGAAGGCGTGGGGTCAGGAACATTTCTGACAAATCAGTTTTATCAGTCTTTTTAAGTGGCATTTGAGAGCACTCTCCTTTCCCAGCCCTCCCCTCCACACTAATGTAAGACATCATCTGCAGAACATTCAGTTCTCCACAGGTAACGAACTTCAACCCTGAAAGACAATTATTCGGCTACTCCTAGTAAGAGCTTCAAGAGCTAGAGCATGCACTTTCACTTCTGCTGAGTGGAGGATTAGAGAATAACTAATTTCTCCCATCATGTTTATTCCCTTGCCTTTGCAGAGCCTTTGTGGAATAACAGGTTTTCTCACCACCAGGAGGCACCAGGCAATCGTGATCCATAAAGCTCGAGTTTCCAAATCTTGGAAGAGAGTAATTGTGGTGTGATGCCAAGATTTAAGACAGGTATCTTGGGACAGGCTAATGAGAATAGTTTCTGATAAAACAGGATCTAATTGAACAGTAGGAACATTCTTAATGAAAAGTTCCACACTGTTCAAGAATCTTCTGCTTTTTTCTGTCTCAGTCCGTGAGTTCAGGCCCCAGAGAGCCAAAGTTCTCCAAGAGCTCATGGTAGCGCAGGTCTCTGGGACAGTGGCAGGGACATGTAACTGAAAGGGTGCTCAGGAGGGGCTGGTCTCCAAAGTACTATCATTTAACTGATCTATGGGTTAAATAAGCTTTGAGGCATGAGACCTAGCAGCAGCCCAACCATTCCAATTCAGTTTCCCATGAAAATACTTTTTTCCAAACGGACTTACCATCCATTTTTGATTAGAAAGATCAAGAAATTAAAATATTATTTCTAACTTCTGTACCATCTGTATGTAGCAACTGGACCACAAATGAAATACTCTGATTCTAGACTCAACTTTATCCCTAGCTTTCTACATAACAAAAATGTTCCTCATTTGTTAAGTGGAAGTGGGCAGGGGGTTACGTAGCATTTATTTTAATGATGAACATTTGTAGTTGTGGACTTCCTGGAGCTCCCACAATTCAGGAGAATTAAGAAACAGAACCAGATGAAGATTAGGATAAGTGGGATTTTTTTTTTTTTATGTGTATCTGCAAAGCCAGCCTCATGCTGTCTTCACCCCCAAAATAGTTCATTCTTCTATATTCCTTCTTACTCCCTGTACTTACTTACACGTAAGTTTCCCCCTTGACTGGACTACAGCAGGTAGCCAGCCCTACCATAAAAGAATTTAAAAGTCAAATGTTGACCGGAGAATACTCTTGCTCTGCTAAACCAGAACAAAATCCGTGGCTTAAAAGTGACAGGTTATCTAGATATGGGTCTGTGTCTGCCCTCACAGTTCCTTAAGCTAAGAATTTACTGTTTGGAAGGTCACAGTCCACCATGTCAAAACCTAAACTCAGTCACATTTAAATCCCCCCTTTCTTCATGTTTTATTTTCTGCAAGCATATTAGGATTTTTATCATCTTCCGTAGTTGAAATAGCAGTGCCTAACTAATCAAGAACTTGCACTTCTTCACAAGCAGGAAAAAAAAGAGATAAAAAGGTTAAGGACAACTTTTATTGCTACCAATCAGTACATGGTTCTGACTGCAGTACCTTCTTCAGGCTGCACAGGGAGCTCAGGACCCAGAAGTCATGAAGAGAATACAGGTAGGCTGGGGAGGCAGGGGGATTAACTTTTATCAAGTAAATCCTAATAGCTTAACATAAAACTAGGGTACTGAATTCAGTTATTACATGTTACAGACCCAAATCATAGAGCTGCCCCAACATCTAGACAGTCTCTCCTACTGATTATAAATGAGTGAACTGAACAGTTTTTTTTTAATCTAATTTTAGTTGTTACATGTTTCTTTGGTGAGCACCTGGATATATTAACTTTATCACAAATTCTATTATACAAATGTCAAAAATGCTTCCAACAAATCTTAAGAGTATCCTAATCACATGCCACTTTTAAGCTTCAATTTAAGATAAAAATGAAAATATTTTGTTTCCAAACTCTAGAAATTGAAAGGAGACAAACAAAAATCAACATGGTAATGGGAGTCCTTTTTCTGTTACCAACTCTGATTCACAGGCAATTGTGAAGTACCTTTTTCAGATTAAGCTGAATTTGAATCATGGATTATAAACATGGCTGTCACTGAAATAATTTGTTCACTAAATTGCTAAAAATAAATTTTCAGGGTTTCCTCATCAGTGGAAGTCAGGCTATAGGTCAACATGCATAAAATTCATTTAGTATTCAAAGAAGCAGCAAGCAAAAGCAAGAGGAAAATTAAATCAGGATCCTGGGACAAGGTTTGCTAGCTAGGAATTCTGGAACTTTAAAAAAGAAAAAACACTGACCGTGAATTTCTGACACAGGGTAATCTACATTACATTTTAGCAGAGAAAAGGGTGGAACTGACAAACACTACAAAGAAATTTTTTACTTAAAAACTTTTTGATCTTGAATTTTACACTTGTTTTGGTCTTTAAGTGCTTAAATAATGTTGAATTATAATTAGCCATACAAGTCAACAGGTTTTTTTTTTTCTGGCTCATTTCGAATCAGCCTGGTAAGGTATACACCTTTATACAGCCTATCCTGTTTTCCATGTTCCCATTCCCACAGTAGTCTACCTTAGTTTGCGCTTGAAGGTAACACCTGGAGCTACATGACAGAAACAGGCTGCAAAGGTGGACAAGGGGAGGTATGTCCCTCTTGCCTTGATAAATCAGTGCCACACACAGAACCCACATTTTCTGAAGCATTATCTTCATTATAGAGCCGTTTGATCCCATCATAGAAGTCGTCCACTTCCATTTCCTCTACTTTGCGTTTAGCAGAGGTATGCTTGCACCCACTGGCAGCTGGGAGATGATGGTAGAAGGCTGCTGTACCTCTGACTGGCACTTCTGGTTTGCTGTTGTCCTTGGAGAAATCTGGGCCTGGGGCAGAGGAGGGATGTAATCTGAACACTCCTTTGTCACAGGTCACCAGGGTGTGCTTGAGGGGACGGTAGACATAAACGGAATTTAGAGGCAGGGAAGACTGCAGAGTAGAAAGGTGATGTGCCACAAGCTCCCGACAGTGGATCAACTGGGAGCTATCCATCTGAGCCCGGGGGAAAGAAAACACAAAGTTGATAATTAATATAGGCTGTCTGTCGTCTTTGCTGGCCAGTTTTTCTCCCCGTGCCCTCTGCCCCCCAAGATTTCTCTCCCCACATCTTCTACCTCAAACTCGTCTACTCCTCCAGCCTACCTATCATTTTTAGAAACTGTGTCCAAATCTGTATTTGTATTATAAACTTCTTTGGAACTTGAATTCTTTATTTGCAATTGTATGCTGTACATCTTCATGAAAGCTGAAATTATTCTCTTTTGTTCACTGCTATATATTCCAACATATGCTGTTCAGGCTATCTCCCCTGTCTAGAAGGCCTTTCACCCTACCCTCCTTTTCTCTTCCAACCTCCTTAGTGAAGACCAAGGTACAGATAAACATAAAATCCATTAAGCATTTAAAGAAGCAGACAGAGGCAAGAAAAAATTTAAATAAGGGATGGGGAAAGGCTGACTAAGAATTTTGAACAACTTAAGTATTATTTTGTTTTTAAAACAGTAAATGGGAACCTTTGACAAGTTATATTTTTGTAGAAAACAGCAGAATTGACAACAATAAGAAAAAATGTTCTTGCTAATGTTTTTAATCTGGGAGTTTCACTAATTCCTTCTTATCCTTCAGGATAATTCAGGTATCAGTCCTTTTTGAAGCCACCCTTGACTCCCCTTAACCCCCCGACAAACCCAAATTTCAGGGTCATCTGTTTTTGTATCAACCTGTCATCATACTTACTACACTGTATTACAATAATCTATTTAACCATTTAAGCTTTTCTACTATAGACTACAAGATCCCAAGAGGTAGGCACTGTATCATGGTTTTGTTTTTTTTTTTTTGTTGTTGTTGTACGCGGGCCTCTCACTGTTGTGGCCTCTCCTGTTGCGGAGCACAGGCTCTGGACGCGCAGGCTTAGTGGCCATGGCTCACGGGCCCAGCTGCTCCGCGGCATGTGGGATCTTCCCGGACCGGGGCACGAACCCGTGTCCCCTGCATCGGCAGGCGGACTCTCAACCACTGCGCCACCAGGGGAGCCATCATATTCATTTTTATTCCCTAAGTTTCTAGCACCACTGACTGTACCTGGAAGGCCTTCAAAATCTTACTTGTGATAGAGAGTCCAATTAGTTGCTCTTTGCCTTACTTTCCCTGCAATTATAGCTCTAGTCAGAATTCCTCTGGCAACATATATTTCTCCCTATTCAAATTTCTTTAGCGGCACCCCAAGTGCCTGCCGGAAATAATCTAACCTCTTTAGCTTGGTATTAAGAAGGCTCTCCACAATCTGACCCAGCCTTATTTCCTCCTACCATATCCCAATTTGTGCTCTACATACCTGCCTAACAGGCCTGCTCTCTACTCTGCACAAATCTTGCCCTTTCTTACTTTAGCCTTGCTCATCCTGTTTCTACACGTTGAAACTGTATTACGTATTCCTTCCGGGTCTGGCTAACTGATGCCACCTCCAGGAAGCCCGTCCTGACTATTTAACCATCGGGGATCACTTTCCAGTCTTACATATTCTTTATATAATCAATTCTTATTCATACCTATAAAACCTGTAGCACACAGCATGACTTCGCAATACCACAGAGAAAATAAAGGAAAATAACATGCTCTGCAAGAACATATTTGGTGACAAAATTATTTTTATCTCTAAATATATTCATTACTTGTTACCCAGGTCAGTGGAAAGGAAGACGAAAGGCTGGTGTTAGTCATCACATAGTACAAAGGTAAAAATGTCTGCAGAAACTATACCTGAAAATGACCATTTTTAATATCTACTATTTTGTTCACTAATTTTTTTTCCCCTAGTTTGAAAGGCACTAGATAACACCCTAACAAACAGGTTAAGATATTATTAACTAGTATTAGAATTTCTTTTCCTCTCTTAAAAACAATGGAACAAAGCACACAGGATAGGGATGGGGCTTCAAAGTTCTTTAAGGCAACTGGTACTCTAGGCCAGGTACCACGCTTCTTCAAAAAGCCTACAAAAGAGAGGTAACAGGAAAAAAGACAGAAATTGGGAAGTGAAAAGAAGGCTACAGGGTAGAAATTATTATAAGTATACCTAGGTTTAATGAACTGTTCTTTAACAAATGAATGATACTCAATGGCCTAGAAAAGTAAAAATATCACAAATATTCTAATGCCTTGGTCACTGGGCATAGTATCACAGAAGAATCCTGAAGAAGGACATGTATTTCAAGTAAAAGGAAGACTATTTATGTCATTATAAACTTCCTCTGTGAAAATAGTAAATAGGGAGTTCTATTTATAGGTGAGGACTGGCAGAAAACGGGGCTGGAAAGACAATGAAGATTATGCAAACCAATACCATCTAATGAACTCTACTTCCACCCAAGTCAAGTCCTTTGTCTAAAATAATGCATCAAAATAAATTTCTTCTAATCTACTACAACCTAAATTTGTTCTAAGAAAAAAAATAATATGGTCCTCATTGAGACGCAGTGGAGGAAACAAAATAAGCACACATATTGGAATTGCTGCAACTTTAGACAACAGACAAGTCCTCTAATGAAATTGTTATAAAAAGATTTAAAATGAACTTGTTCTGATTGCAGAGTGTCCAGAGAACATTTAACTATCTCCCCAAATTCAAATACGGTAACCATTTTAAAGCATCCCCTGCAACAACAAACAGAACTATAATATAGCTCACCAAGGAGGTAGGTAAATAGCACTGAAAGTTTACAGAGCAGACATCCAAATAGGTTACTGATGGGAAGAGGGGATCAGAACAGCATGATGTAACTGGTTCAGATGGACCCATAAGGGTCAATGGACAGCATAAAGCACTGAAAATACCGTGCAGTGCAGTAAGTAGTCTGACTTTAAGCACCTTTAAGAAGAACTAGAAGACCCTGGTGGGGAAGGTCTGCTTCCTTAACTCCATACTCTAATTTTAAACTACACCACAGCAGAAACATGTACTTTGACTAGTGCCTGAGTAGGGTCTAGGAAGACCACCACACTAATCTGGGTAGATTTAACATCCTGAGATAATCAAGGTGGACCACGTCAGTCAGAAAGAGGAGAACATGAGTATAGCCACAGAAGCAGAGCAATGAGAGAAGGGGTAAGAGGAAAGAGAGGGTTAGCTATCCCAGGATGATGAGCAACAACAGGTAGCAAAAGAGATGAGGGGTGGTGATCGGGGCGGTGGACTGGGGAGTGAGGGGACAGGGAGGGACAAGAGGAAGCTTGCCTTTCAAACCAGGGAACACTCACTGTACTTCGTCTGAAGTCCAGAGGGAACATAGGCAGAGTTGGTGATAGTGGGCCCCCTCACACCATGAGATGTCTATGATGGACCACTAAGCAGTCCTCTCAAACCAGGACCCTGGGAAACATGTCAGAAGTAATTCCAGCATGATCTTACCATCTGATGCAAGAATTTTCTAAACTAGAACCAGAAATCCAGGAGAAACATCTGATATTACTATGGCCTTGTCATGGGTCTAATTACAAAGATATTAGACTTGGTGTTCCTACATGAACACAGGTGAACTTAGCAAAAGGTAAAAATGTCTGAGTCTTAAAGAATAAGGAGCCACTCAGATTTGGGCCACGAGGGTTTCAGAGAATTGCTAAAACCAAGTCTCAAAATCTCTGAAGTTCTGTGACCTTACTTGTTTTAAACTGTCTTCCTTATTATAACTTGACTATTACATGAAGCAGAGACTTTTTAGAATCACTGTATCCCCAATGCCTTGATCATAGATTTCTCAATAAATGTCTGTGGAATATAACTATATACATATACAAGAGAAAGGAACAGTGGTTTTCAAACTATGTCCAAATAGCTTATGAAAGGGAAGAGGCCATGTTATATAGGACTGCATCTGATAGGCCTGTGCCCCAAACACACATTACAAAGTAATACTTTACTACTTAGGATTTTGGGATTGTGTGTGTACAAGATTTTGTTGGGGGTGAGGGAAGGGTTCCAGTTCTAAAGGAAACTCTTAAAACCACTGGACTAGAATCTTCAAGGTTTCTGTGGTACAGAAAAAGCACTGGTTTTTTTTTTTAGTTTTCTTTGCTACTAAGTTCTGTGTGTCTCTGAGAAAGTCCCAAGTTCCCTGGACTGCAGCTATAAAATAAAGGAGTTGAATGATATGATTTCTAAGAAGGTTCCTTCAAATTCCAAGCTTATAATAATAATACTTGGGGAAAACAGTTTCAGTGAACACTTTCTTCTAGCACCAGAAGACTTATGAAAGAGAATAAGCAGATTCTCTAGTGTTCTTCAGTAGAGAACAAGCCCTCAAAGCTACAGAATATACATGCTATTTACATTCTTACTATATATGCTTCGAAGCCTGTCCTTTCTCTGTGACAGTAACTCTTCATATAGCAAATTTTCTCTGTACTAGATTGGAAACAGGCACAGAGACCAAGTCATGGAGGCGTTTAGAAATATGTCCTTTGTTCCAATAAAAAGATGAAAAATGTAGGAGGTAGGATGTTCTCTTTATGTCCCTTCCCCTCCTTCTGCAGTCTAATGTAAAAGATTAATATTCAACTTCATTTTCCAACACTCTAGGTAGGCAAAGTAAATGTTCTGTGCTACACTATTCACTTATGTGGTAGTTTATGTTAGTTTCTAAAAATTCTCACTAAACAGTAACTATCTCCTTGGGTTTATTTTCATTATAGCATTTATTTCAATGCAAAGAAGCACTTCTCAGTTATTTTAATCTAACACATGCAATTAAAAGAACATAAAGGAGAAACAGCCTTTGTTACACTACGATCGTTTCCCAGGGATACAGAACAAGCTGAGCCACGCTAAGAACAGTGGAACAAGACACATATAAGAGGAACGGAGCTCTAGTTGATATACTGATCATCATCATCATCATTCTTTTTATGAAAAGACTCTCAGCCCTTCTCTGCTCACAAACTAGGGCATGATATTCTCAGCTGAGAGGTTGCACTGGTATACCTTACATGTCTGGGTCTGCTAACTTTTATAGCTCATATCTATAAAATCGTCAACTATAACTATCTTACAAAACACCAAATTCAAGTATTCTCTTTTCTTTTGTAGAATTATAAGTTTTATTAGCTCAATAACTGCAGCCCTTTGCTCAAGTTAGTTCTTTTTATATTACAAAATGTTTTTAAGCTCAGAATTTAACAGACTCTGCTCTAAATAACACTCAATGAAACAAATCAGAATAACTACTGCCAAATGAGAATAAATAGGGACATATATATTTAAAAGGAAAGTAGGTTCATAAGTCTTTGGCCGAGGAGTATGGTTTGCAGCAGATCTAAGCTTGTAGGTTCTATTTGGTGACACGAATAGAAGCAATAAGGATTCTCTCCAAGTTGCTGCTAACATACAGCACCATTACTAATTTTTCATTTGAATGAGAATTTTCTCCACTAAACTTTTACTTTTTATATAGACAGTTGAAAAAAATTTAACTGACTGCTAACATTTTGTATCAATTTGCAGATACAAGTTATTAACCAATCTTAAGCAAGAGTGAAAACTACCAGGACTTCAGAAAGTCCTGGAACTTCAGGAATATAGTTTCTATTTGCCAAATACTTCCCTCTCTAGCCAACGATAAATTATCTGCTTGTCTAAAAAAGTAACTTCTTGCAATTTATGTTCTTGACTTTTATAAAATGAGTAAGTCAGAAGTACTATAATGAAACCTACAAATATAGCTAGGAATGTTCTTCATACAAAACTAATGGAGAATATATTATCAAGAATCTTACTTTTAAAGTAATCTAGAAGGGATGAAAAGAATCAAGAAAATACTATCTGAGCTTTAAAAAAGGAAAAAAGGACATCTAACACATAAATTTAAAGTGTGTAAAACTATACTCTACTCTTAAAAATGAGTTGCCATTACAAGATTAAAATGTCTCTTAGTTTTATAACTATCTGCTAACCCTATGTATCCCAATAGGAGAAAAACTTTAAAATGAACACTATTTAATTAGACTGACACCTACCTGTGCTTTCTGAAGCAGTTCAATTGTAAGAGGAAGCCAATCAGGAATGAGTTTCTCCATTTCCAAACTAACCATGGCCAGGGCAAGCATGGATCCTTTGAATTGCAGAAGTTGGCTGCAGGCCATACAGTGAAGTAATTGCTTGGTAAGGACTGCCAAATGTTGAGATGGGCTCAGTTTGGGCAAACTAAAAAGTAACTGAGGCCTAGTTGACACTGCAATGGCATGGAACTAAAAAAAAAAAAAAAAAAATCACAAGAACATCATTCTAGTTTTACTCAAATGTCTAGATAAGCTATATACAGAAACTGATGTAACCTCAGGTATTACTCAATTTCTAAGTTTGCAATTTTAGCTTCAATGATTTGACATACACCCCAATTTCTCATTTTTCCTTGGCTAATTGCAATAATTTTCCTTTTCCTAAAAATCAGAACAACAACAAAAAAAATGAGTGGGCAATCTACTTTTCAAGTTACTGAAACAGGACTACACATTCAAATAAGAAACTAAAAGATTTCAGGTATATTTACAATGTGAAGAAAATCCAATGGTGTGGCTGTGTGAAGATCCCAATTCAACTTATCCAGAATAATTCTCTCCATCCTCAGAATTTCAGATGAAGAACATCCACAGAAACTATCTCTTGCCAACACCTTCAGTACTGGTATTCTCTATCCAAAGCAAAGGGGGATGGGGCAGGAGGACAGGACAGAAAAAAATAAACTCATTTTTCAGTTTTTGTTTTTGGTAAACAGAAAATAAAAGGATAATTTCAAAAAAGAGACATGACTAATCTTTAAAGGAAAATATTTACCTCATCTTCCTCAACAGTCTTGGCAGCTAGGAAAAAACAGCTGATTGCAATACAACTCAGGTATTTTGGGTGGGCCTAAAATGGGGAAGAGAGAAAAAGCAACTTTAGTGATTCTTCAAAAAGTTGAGTTAAAAGTATGCACACAATTCTATGGAATTCAATTAATCTGATTCCTACGCATTTTTTTTTAATTAATTTATTTATGGCTGTGTTGGGTCTTCGTTTCTGTGCGAGGGCTTTCTCTAGTTGTGGCGAGCGGGGAGCACTCTTCATCGCAGCGCGCAGGCCTCTCACGATTGCGGCCTCTCTTGTTGTGGAGCACCGGCTCCAGACGCGCAGGCTCAGTAACTGTAGCTCACGGGCCCAGCTGCTCCGCGGCATGTGGGGTCTTCCCAGACCAGGGCTCGAATCCGTGTCCCCTGCATTGGCAGGCAGATTCTCAAGCACTGCGCCACCAGGGAAGCCGCCCTACCCACTGCTTTCTAGATCAGAGCTAACTTTTAACTTCATAACCTCAGCCTTATACTCTATGGAAATACTAAGACCATTCCATTGTTGGAAGTTCAACCAATGCTAGTTAGCCAAAGTTAATTTCTATCCAGCAGAGATGAGCTTGATTTTACAAGACATTTTTTTATTTAATAAAATTCCCCAAATTAAAAATATATTTGTATATTTTTTAAGCTAGTTTTATTCTCTTTGCCTGTTATATCAGTTAGATTAACATACTAGGTGTTAGGGGAATTAAAGAGAAAGAAGGGAAAATAAAATAAAGGCTATTAATATATTTCACATGCTTTAAAAAATTATAGGATGCTAGCAGATGAAATTTTCTAATTAAATGTTCACCCAAAAAATTATATATTCAAGATCCATGATAAGAATGAAAGGCTCCTAAATATATACAGAACCAATTAGTGGGGAAAAAACCTTTCCTGGGTTTGACACCCATAGGAGGGCTTGAATTTGCCTATTTTCCTTACCTATAATGAGCAGGCACACTTTCTACATCATTGGTAGAATAGGGTTTGCCAACCCAGCATCAGAATCCAATTTTAAATAATCAGGACAGGGATTTCCCTGGTGGTCCAATGGTTAGGATTTGGTGCTTTCACTGTCATGGCCTGGGTTCAATCCCTGGTCAGGGTACTAAGATCCCGCAGTTGCTCGGTGCAGCCAAATAAATAACCATGATAATTTAGTCCAATTATATTGAATGACACAGAGATAAGCTATATAACACAAAGAAAACCTGTTTCAACATTTATTTTATACCTAAATATTACATTCCCATGAAGCCTTGGGGAAGGCTTCTGATGACCAGAGTATGGCCTTGATTAATTACTTAATAAACATGCCAACTAATGACCATTGTGCCTCAGTATAAGTGGCAGACTGTCTAGGAATCTTCCAATTCTCTGCCAGTATGAGAAATAAAGCTAGTTCAATACTATCAATGTTTTAAATAATCATTAATATTAATCAGAATATTACTGTTTAGAAAGCACTGCCATAAATATATCTTCTTTTACAGATGAAAAAACAGTCTCAGAGGTTAATGGACACCACACAAGTGATATAGAAAGTGAAGTCAGATCTTGTTGCTAAGACAGTTTTCCAGGTTCCCTTATTTCTCCATGTACACAACACATCAAAACCATATCCCTGAGGTAATCAGAGTTCATTACAAAGAAAAGAGTCCAACAGTTAACAACTTTGGGTAGGAAATGCAACCCCCAAATCAAGGGCACCAATAATAAATTTAGTACTGAAATGAACCCCAACAGCAAATATGTGGGGGTGTGTTTTTTAAACAAACAGTAGTTCTCAATCCTGGATGTATACCAGAATCATCTATGCAGTTTTTGTTTATTTCAATACAGATGTCCAGATCTCACCTACTAGAGATTCAGATTCAGTGTGTCTGGGATAGGGCTCGAGGTCTATTATTTTTAAAGAATTTCATAGTACCTTCTTCTGCACAGCTGGGATTGAGGTTCCATTCACTGTTGTAGCCCTTTAATGGTCTGCTTTAAGCACCTTTAAACTATGAATACATTTTAGATGAATTGTTTCAATATAGATTAACCATATCTAAGTATCTGATGCTAGTAGTATGATAGGACCCATTAAATAAGCAATATGAAAGAAATGATATTTTATTTGGCAAAATTCTCTAATTGTTCCAAAAACTTCCCCTAAATCTGTTTAAAATGTTTAATAATAAGGCCAGTAAAAATCTTCTCTATGATAGAAGCTACAACAAGTCCATTAAAATTTTTGAGGAATATACAACCCAAGAAACGACACTAACCTCAAACGCATCGTTCTCTGTGAAAGGGAGATTAGCTACAGTAGGGGACTAGGGAGAAGGGAGGGGGACTTGATGCTGACATAAATGTAGGCATCTCAGATAACCCAGACTGCAGGCAATTAGTGTCATTATAATTTAAGTTGCTTTACTCTCAAAAGTAGAAGTTTGAAACATAGAAAGGTAACTTGAGTGGCCATCCAAATTCTTCCACTCCATAATTCTTTGGCTTCTATTTTTTTATACCTAATAACAAAGAATATGGCACCCTCAGCACTGAATACATCATTTCTGCAGCTACATATTCCTAGGCATACAAATAACAACTGAATTGCTTTTCATGCCTTGCTATTGAATAAATGCTGACTTTCTGCTTTAAATCTGTTATGGGCCTACTATGACTGATTTCACATAATATAACCAACAATATATTATAGCAATAGGGACAACATAAAACTTACCTGTAATGCTGCCATTTAACAAAAATACAATGAAGTTATTTTATGACAGTTCAGTTCATCTTGTTATACTCCTCTAGAAAGTATTTATATATTGTTCAGAAAACTACACAAAAGGGATTCAATAAATAAGTAGTGACAGAGAAAAATATGCAATAGGCTTATACTTTTCTAGTCTGATTCACTGTTCACAACTAGTACTCAGTGTGTTAAAAAGATGACTGAACATTTTGCCAATGCTATATGGTTTGTATTAAAATCAAGAGATCAAAACTTTCATAGGTTAAGTATAAATTATGAATACTTGTAGCCAAAAGAAAACTACAGAATATAATTAGAAACATTTCCGAAAACTCAAAGCAATAGCTTATAAGTATACATATAATCTTTAGGAAGGTTTTCCACTCCTTCCCACTTTGTAGAATATTTTACTAATAGTCCCTGGTGTAGCATATAAACCCTCAAAAAAGAAGCTGTATGTAAGTGTATTCTAAAATATTTACCTTTACAGTAGCTAAGAACCTGTCCAAAAGACTGCTAGCCAGAGCAAATGTTTCTGGGTAAAGGTTGAATTGGTACTTGAGTTTGGCCAGCCACTGGATCACTTCATCTCTCTGGGATGGAGAAACATTCTATAAGGGAACAATTAAAAAATAAAAATAAAGTGAACAAGTAAAGTTTCAAGTTATCATCAAGGATATGTTTGTAATTCTTGTTTATAAAAGGTTAGCAAATGCTATGGAATATGTATTTATTAAAACTACTTAAAATGTTTTAAAGTTTATTCAAAATCTATCAAACTTGAGATAAATGAAGATAAAACCTTATGTACTACTTATAGCATTTAATATCAATATCCAATATTCTCTTATTTATTAAATAAAATTTTCACGATGTCATCTCACTATATATCTATACTTTAATTAAGCTGAGGTTTTAAATTTTAGGTAACACTAATATCAACTGATAGTAATTTTGGAAGTAAGTTTTCTTAATTCTTGAAAATAAGAAAATATACTGAATTTCTTTCAAAGGCAGCAAATAGCCATTAAACTATTTTAGGAAACACAAATGGACTATGATAACAGAATGATAGTCCATTAAAAACAAAACTAAAGTCAAGAGGAATAAATGAAAAATATCAGGAACAAGAGACAAATTACACATTTAAAGATGATGAAAGAATATTGAAGGGGAAATTAACCTGAACCAACTTATCATTACAAAGATCACTGCACAAACACTAAACATTACTGGCATTTTAATCTTCCAACATATTATTTTAAACTGCTGGATATAGGCTTAATTTTTAAAAGGTACACACTTTAAAGCAGTATTTAACGATTTACTCTTCAGTTTTGTAAGCACCATAAAAAACAAAACAAACCTAGTAATACTTAATCTACTACTAATAAAACAGATCTATGTAAGTACTACTTCTGCCAGGTAAACACAACAAAGTACAGAAATAACTCTGTGATTAGTGGGAAAGACTATTTTCAATAAGTGAGAGTTCCAGACAAGTAAAGGTTTAATCTAAGCACTGCAGGATTTATCATCATAACCATTTTGGATAGAAATCTCTTTAAAAATAAATATAATACTTACCTCATTCCTCAGAAAGTACAGAGACCACAGCTTAAACCTTTTTCCTGATCATTCAACTTAATGAAATTAATTCCTATATCACAGAAAGATGCCTCAAGAGCTACTAAAGCACGAAGGGCTGTACATCTTGACAATATATCTCCTCAAACAGGTATTTCAGTTGGAATTTCTTCTCTCCTTCCTCTTGGCTTTCTTTAGTTTGTAAGGAATAAGCGCTTTGATGACCATTATAATCTCTACTATTGCACTGGCTAGTTTCTCTTATTTTAGTCCAACTCCTCTTTCTGTCAGTTTTCAGCTTTGACACAACAAAATAAAGTGTTTCTGTGTTGGCCAAACCAACTAATCACACATGTAATTTTTATATTTAGCTCTAAACTTAGTTATAACTGGTATTTTAGAAGGTTAACTGCCATACATTCACCTTCTGGTCAATTCCTTTTGTCAAATAAAGATTGAATCTAGAATACTGCACAAGAAATACTGAGAAGAAAATGAGATAAAGATGGTTTACAACCTCTTATATTTACATCTCACCACCAAGCTGGTGTTAAGACTATGAACAATAATTTGAAAACATCTGACAATCAAGACATTTAACTGAGTTCATATTAATGAACATTAAGTGTCAGTCATATGATAGGTCATGGGAATACAATGAAGAATGAACTCTGGGACTTCCCTGGTGGCACGGTGGTTAAGAATCTGCCTGCCAATGCAGGGGACATGGGTTCAATCTCTGGTCCAGGAAGATCCCACATGCCGCGGAGCAACTAAGCCTGTGCGCCACAACTACTGAGCCTGTGCTCTAGAGCCTACGTGCCGCGACTACTTAGCAGGTGTGCTGCAACTACTGAAGCCCGCGTGCGTAAAGCCCATGCTCCGCAATAAGAGAAGCCACCGCAATGAGAAGCCCGCGCACCACAACTAAAGAAAGCCCGCGCGCAGCAACGAAGACCCAATGCAGCCAAGGGGGGGATAAAAAAAAGAATGAACTCCCGCTTTAAACTTTAAAATTTAAAGTCTCACGGTGAGAACAACCACCAGAAAATGTTAATAAAATATGGTAAGCATTAGAATAGAGACATACACAGGGTGCTAGCAGACCACACTGGAAGGGCACCTGGCCCAGTGTGGGGGTAGAGTAAAAGGCTCTTGAAGGAGACAGTAGCTAACTTGTATCTTAAGGTGAGGGGATGGGGCGATCATTTGTGAGGCAAGGAAAAGAACCAAGTATTTTAAACCTGTGAACTTTACTCTGAAGGATAGGACCAATGTCAACCTGGAGGCAATAACCTATTGTTAAGTTCCTCAGATTTGCATATAAAAATCAAGATGGATGGAAAAGACTGCTAGAAACAGATATTCTGACAACTAGTGAAACTAGTGATACAATTCAATGAATCAAAAAGAAACAGTAAGTTTCTTTTGTTCATGGGACTGAAATTGTGGGCTTGACAGGTTTGGGGTATATAGAGTAGCAGGGAACTGTATGTCCTGCAGAGACTATTATCCAACTTGACAAGAGGAAACTGGAGTTATGCTATTAAAGCCACGAGTTGGATTCTCACTCTTACAAAAAAGGAGTCTGAAAAAGGCAGCAAAATACTATCTGGGGGCTTCCCTGGTGGCGCAGTTGTTGAGAGTCCACCTGCCGATGCAGGGGACACGGGTTCGTGCCCCGGTCTGGGAAGATCCCACATGCTGCGGAGCAGCTGGGCCCGTGAGCCATGGCCACTGAGCCTGCGCGTCCGGAGCCTGTGCTCCGCAATGGGAGAGGCCACGAAAGTGAGAGACCCGCGTACCACTAAAAAAAAAAAAAAAAAAAAAAAAAAAACTATCTGGATTCTATGGCTTCTCCAGAGGTGGGAGGAAGCAGACACAGCCCTACAGCTAATCCCTGGGTCAGAGAGCTCTTAGTATGGTCATTGGTTTTACAATATTCCATCTTCCATAGAGCCTTGAGGTGCTACTTTAAGAGCTGGACTAGGGGCCCCTAAAGGTCCCTGGGAACCAAGTGAAGCAATCACAAAACTATTAGACGGAGAGAGTTAAGTATTCAAGAGAAATTAAATTTCTACCAAGTTGAGCTTTTATCTAAAAGTGCCAAAAAAAAAAAAAAAGTAATGTTAAGTAAGCCATCCGAACAATTCAATTACAAGGAAATAAATTCATACAGGGAAAGGCAGATGGTGATACAATCTGATGAAACTGGGGACGCTTTTAGGGAGGTGAAAGAACAACGATCTAGAGTAGCAATGAGGAACAAAAACACCATTAATTCTACCTTCAGGTCAGAGATACAGGGGAAAAAAACCCCTAAATAACGGATTATATTATGTAATGTGATTATCTGGTGTTTGACATTAAACAAATATATAACACAAACATATAACTGTAAGCAGTCCCACAGAAGATGAACATAATGTTCTCTAAGTATGGGTGTAACACAAGGGAACACAGTTAAATAGAGATTTCCATACCATATTTATAACTAAATGATATAACTTATGTAAAATACACAGAATGCAAAAGGCACTTCAATATTAGTTTTGTCCTTTCCCTCCTCTAAAAATACCTGGTACTCTGTGATGCCAGAAAAAACAAGTTTACAAAATATTAGATATAAATAATTCTCTTAAACCAGTTACAATGCAATTAGTTAAGAAAGAGATCATGACAATCTTTGGACTTTAACTTATATTAAAAATTTGAGAATAGAACCAAGAAGCATTGTTGCATGGCTAGTATTATCAACACTAGCCAAAACTAACAATAACCAAAAAAACCCCACAGAAGATAATGGTTTGAGAAGACTCACTCTTAAGTGAAGTGATACTGATCCTAAGATCACTTTTTCAAATCAATTAAAACCTGCACTGAACAGTAATATTATCAGAATAGCTTTAAACAATTAAGTTCTGTGCATAAGTAATCCCATCAGGGAGGGAGGGAGGGAGGAAGGAAGGAGGTCTGCCTACCCTAGATAGTATTCCCTGATCAAGGGATCTGTTTTCTCTTATTTGGATTTCTCAAATAGCGTTAAGAGAGTTCAGTAAATTGGTTGAACAACTAATCCCACAGAGAATTTATAATGGTTTGACTCAACCTGGTAAAACACAGGGCTTTATATTCCACTGCTGCTATTCTGATCATTAAAACACAAATCCTCCCCAGCTTTAAACTCTAAAAGGTTCACCATTACCGAACAGATTAAGTATGACTCCCCAGGCATGGCATACAAATCCCTCTTTGACCTACCTCTCCAGCCTCACTCACCTTTCATCACTTTCTGCCTTAAAACTCATAACAGCAGTACTTGTATTTATGTTCTTCCTTGTTCCTGTAATGCTACTTACATCACTGCTCCTTTGCTCATACTGCTCCCTCTGGTTGGAACATACTCTCTCTCTTTTCCCTGTCTTATTATTTATCCTTTAAGAGATATTTCAATGGTCAGTCCCCACCAGATACTTTCCCCGATAAGTCAGGCTAAGTACCTTCCTGTGCTCCCACAGCATCCTTGTCACAACTATTAAGTTCAACACTTCTTAAAAAATTACCTTACTGCTCTTGCCTATGACTGAGTAGGTAGCAGCAAACCTACACTCTAGCTGAGAACTAGAAAAGCTATTAACAACAGCAACAGAAAGGCATGAGAACTGCTAGGATAACCGGGCCTTGAGGAGCCAAGATTCTGGAGAGGAGGTAACAATAAGAGAGGAGTCAACACTCTGCACAGCTTCCCCTTTCAGGCATCTGCCCATCCTGTGAGTACGGCAAGAGGTGTAAAGTATGAGCAAAGAAACCAACAGAGCTTTGGGAGTCTTACAAGGCAAGAGACAAAATTTGGAGACCTGAAGAGCCAAGAACCTAGTGGGAAGAGGGAGGGTCAGAGATCAGAATGTGACACTCAGCTGACTTTCCTCTTAACTCATTTTCTGAATGAAATTCTGAAGTTGGGAAGGACAAGGTTCTCAGAGGCTAAGCAGAAAGCCTTTGAAAAGCAAGAATGAGTTCAGGAGGAGTTTAGCACCCTTCAGGAATAAGGGGCACTAGTAAACACTCCAAGCTCTCAGCTGGAATCCTTGGCTACACTCTAGGAGTTGGGGGCAACCAGAGGTGATGAAGCCATACCCAACAGCAACCCAGCCTCCAATCAGCACAGTCCCTCAGTGGATTAAAGTGATTAACCTCCTCTTCAGTTTGCCCACCAGAGGGAAGACTGAACCATCCTGCAGAAAGATAGCATCTAGAGCCTCTACAATTTTTCATAATGGTCAGCAACCAATCAAAAATAACGAGGCATGGGCTTCCCTGGTGGCGCAGTGGTTGAGAGTCCACCTGCCGATGCAGGAGACGTGGGTTCGTGCCCTGGTCCGGGAAGATCCCACATGCCGCGGAGCGGCTGGTCCCATGAGCCATGGCCGCTGAGCCTGCGCGTCCAGAGCCTGTGCTCCGCAACGGGAGAGGCCACAACAGTGAGAGGCCCGCGTACGGCAAAAAAAAAAAAAAATTAAGAACCCAATACGGGACCTAACAACAAACTAGGCAAGGGTGGACAGCTATGCTTTGAAGAAAATTTATAGCTCTAAATGAGTGTATTAAAAAAGAAGAAAACTGGAAAACCAATTATTTAAGCATCTATCTCAAGATAAAGAACAGCAAATTATATAAAGAAAGTAGACAGAAATAACGAAAAAAAGAGCAAAACTAAAAAAACAAAAGACAAATGTATAATTGGGAAAATCAACAGAACTGAAAGACTGACAGACCTCTAGAAAGGGTGATTAAGAAAGAAAAAGCACAAATCAACTAAGAAATGAAAAAGGGAACATCACTATGGACCCTTTAGATGTTAAAAAGAGGATATGAGTAACTTTACACAAATAATTTGAAAATTTAGATGAAATGAATAAATTCCTTGAAAAACGCAACTCACCAAAACTGAGATAAGATTTAAATGAAGACCTGATTAGCCTCATATTTACCAAAGAAATGGGACTGATTATTAAATACTTTCCCACAAATGAATTTGTAGGCCCCAGTGGCTCTGCAGTAAAACCTTCCGACATTTAAGAAATAATATTAATCTAAACAAACTGAGAGCACTGAAAAAAAAAGCAGGAATACTTCCCAACTCATTTTACAAAGCCAGCATAACTTTACCATGAAAACTTGACAAAGGCATTACAAACCAATCTGACCCATGACCACAGATGCAAAATGCCTAACCAAAATATTAACAAAATCCAATGATGTATAAAAATTCAACACCTATTAATGAAAAAAATCTCTTAGCAAACTAAGGCAGAGAAAGGAACTTCTTAATCTAATAAAGATTAAGAAATATACAGCAAATATTATAGTTAATGGTGAAATACTGAAAACTTTCTCCTCAAATTCAGACTTCAGCAGTGTTCTGGAAACCCTAGCTAATTCTGTAAAACAGAAATATAGAAAGTATAAGGACTGGAAAGAACTAAATAAAACCATGATTATTCACATCTGACATGACTGAGTATAATACACAGAAAATCCTAAAGACTCGGCAAACTATTAGTAAGTTAATTTAGTATGGTCTATATAAAAATCTATTTTATTTCTATATACCAGCATATAGAAGCATGTAAAAAAATAAAAAATTTAAAACAATACCATTTGTAATAGCCTCAACAAGACTCAAATACCCAGGAATAAACCTAAATCACCAAACGTTAAAAGAAACTGAAGACCATCTTTAAAGAAAAATGGAGAAATACTCTATGTCAAGGGAATAGAAGACTCATATTATAAACATGTTAATTCTTCCCCAAATCAATCTACAGACCAAAACCCCCAAATTTTTTTATTTTTCAAAAACTGACAACTATATTTAAAAATACATATGGAAGAACAAAGGGCTTAAAATAGCCAAGACAATCTTAAAAAAAAGAACAAAGTTTATGCCACCAAAGGCTTATTATAATGCTACAATAACTGAGGCAGTGTGGTATTAAATAGAGGCAAACAGACCAATGATGAAAAAAGGGGCAAGAAACTAACCCACAAATGTATCTACTCATATACAGCAGTCACTTGATTAAAAACAAAAGTATGTATCACAGGGGGACTTCCCTGGTGGTTCAGTGGCTAAGACTCCACGTTCCCAATGCAGGGGGCCTGGGTTCGATCCCTGGTCAGGGAACTAGATTCCCCATGCTGCAACTAAAAGGTCCCACGTGCTGCAACAAAGATCCCGTAAGCGGCAAAGAATATCCCACATGCTGCATCTAAGACCTGACGCGGCCAAATAAATAAAGAAAAAAGAAGTACATTGCAGGGCAATGGCGAAAAATGTCTTTCTAATAAATGATACTGGTTTTCCATATGGAGAAAAATTATTCTTGACTCCTCCTACTTCACACCATACCAAAAAGGAAAAACAAAATCCTATCTTCATTACCTTGGATTAGGCAAATTTTTTTTTAGTATCTTTATTGGAGTATAATTGCTTTACAATGTTAATTTATTTTGTACAACAAAGTGAATCAGCTATATGTAGACATATATCCCCATATCTCCACCCTCTTGAGCCTCCCTCCCACCCTTCCTATCCCACCCCTCTAGGTCCTCACAAAGCATCGAGCTGATCTCCCTGTGCTACACAGCAGCTTCCCACTAGCTATCTATTCTACATCTGGTAGTGTACATAGTCATGCTACTCTCATTTCGTCCCAGCTTCCCCTTCCCCCTGTGGTCCTCAAGTCCATTCTCTAAGTCTGCATCTTTATTCCTGCCCTGCCACTAGGTTCATCAGTACCGCTTTTTTAGATTCCATATATGTACGTTAGCATACGGTATTTGTTTTTCTCTTTCTGACTTACTTTACTCTGTATGACAGACTCTAGGTCTATCCACCTCATTGCAAATAACTCAATTTCATTCCTTTTTATGGCTGAGGGATATTCCACTTTATATATGTGCCACACCTTTATCCATTCATCTGTCGATGGACATTTAGGTTGCTTCCATGTCCTGGCTATTGTAAATAGTGCTGCAGTGAACTCTGTGATACATGTATCTTTTGAATTATGGTTTTCTCCGGGTATATGCCCAGTAGTGGGACTGCTGGGTCATACAGTAGTTCTATTTTTAGTTTTTTTAAGGAAGCTCCATACTGTTCTCCACAGTGGCTGCATCAACTTACATTCCCACCAACAGTGCAGGAGGGTTCCCTTTTCTCCACACCCTCTCCAGCATTTATTGTTTGTAGATTTTTTGATGATGGCCTTTCTGACCGGTGTGAGATGATACCTCATTGTGGTTTTGATTTGCATTTCTCTAATGATTAGTGATGTTGAGCATCTTTTCATGTGTTTGTTGGCAATCTGTATGTCTACTTTGGAGAAATGTCTATTTAGGTATTCTCTGCCCATTTTTGGATTCAGTTGTTTGTTTTTTTTTGATATTGAGCTGCATGAGCTGCTTATATATTTTGGAGATTAATCCTTTGTCAGTTAGGCAAACATTTCTTTCAAAGGACTAAGCAAAAAAATTTTTTTGATAATTCGGTCATTAAAAATTAAGAACTTCTATTCATCAAAAGTCAACACAGGGCTTCCCTGGTGGCGCAGTGGTTAAGAGTCCACCTGCTGATGCAGGGGACACGGGTTCGTGCCCCGGTCCGGGAAGATCCCACGTGCTGCGGAGCGGCTGGGCCCGTGAGCCATGGCCACTGAGCCTGCGCGTCCGGAGCCTGTGCTCTGCAACGGGAGAGGCCACAACAGTGAGAGGCCCCTGTACCACAAAAAAAAAAAAAAAAAAGAGGGCTGATAAATGCACACAAACATCTACTCAAGTATTACTGCAGGCCCAGATGCCAGAAAAAAAAATAGCTCCTACTCTACCACTCCAGACCAGGAGATAATCAAAATACAAGATAGTACTGGGCTTCTC